AAGATCGCATCAAGGCAATTTATTCTGTATTCCAATTTCTAATTAGTTGTCGCTATACAATCAAACAAGCTGCAGTGTATGATTTTTATGAATGTGATGAGATTTTTTTCTGCTAAATAAATTCGAGTTTTGTGCTGTATTGTTCCAATATTGCTAAAAGGAGAAAAATTTTATATTTCTTATGTATTTTTTCTGATTTCTGCCTAAAATAATCATATAATATAAAATAATTATATTATATAATTAATATATGCTTTCCTATAATATGCTAGTTTTACTTTAAGAAATATTTCGCTAGTTAAAGAATAAAATTGCTTTTAAAAAATACCCAGATAAATTTTACCAGGCTGTGATTTGGTGATGGAAGCATGGGTAAATCACCAGTATCGCTTAGATTTTTGAACAACAGCTTACCGAGGTAGAGCTCTAGCAAACTCAAGAGCAGGGCGCTTAGGGATGAGAGCGAATAGCACATTCTCCACTTATAAATATAGAAAATTTTATCGTTGTCACAAGTTAATGGGAAAGGAAACCAAAAAATGGATTTAAATTTTGTTGAGAACTAGTGTTTTAATTGCTATTGTTTAGCAATTTTGAAAATTTTTATCTTTAATCAAATTCATTTGGATTTCACTTTTTTCATTGGTTTTCTTTCATTTCATGATTTACATTAATTTCATTTATCATACAAATTTATCTCAATTTACAAGTTGGTTTGCGAAATTCTTTTGATGTACGAACTATATACCTACACAACACCACATTACCTTATATTCGATTTCAAAAGAAATTTTAAAGTCCACTTTTGCCGCAACTCGAATTCCAGTTTGTTGTATCTATTTTGTTGCTATGAATATGGAATTTCATTCAAGTTTTCAATTTGTTTCTTTCCATTTTTTTTGGCAAAATTCTTGGAGAATATGTAATTGAAATATATACTATTTTTCATTCATGATTTTTATAAATAAGCACATCGACGAAAGAAATCAACGAATAACGAATTGTTCAAGAGGTAGATAATGATGAATGATATCTCATCATCGATCTATTGTGAACATCGGAAAAATTATAGTTCTGCCCGAAGCTGAATAAGAAACAGGCTTGTAAAGAATGAGCAAAAAAGATTATCTCAAATAATTATCCTCTCTAAATCAAGAGACTTAAATCATCTTCGTTTAAAGAACTAATTACATAATTGCTTTTCCAAATATTGACATTGCGATCAAATTTATTTTGTTATAATTATTTTATTATCTTTTTTATCTTACAAGGTTGATATCACTGCCTGGTTTTTATATTTCTAAATTCAAAATCAAATTCAACAAATAAATTTAAAAAACCAAAAATCTACATCTGCGTGGAAAGCAGTACTTTCACTTGAATCAAAGTCGGCAAAAGAAAAAAATTCCAAGCGTAAAAAAAATAAAACATTCGTTAAATGCAGCTTCACCCTTTGATTGTTTACAAGGCCATTCTCGTTTAACATCTTCGACGTTATTCTCCATTAAAAATATGCTCCATGCTCCATCAAAAAATAATGACCGTTAGGCATCTGTAACTGCGGAAATGTCCAGATAATTAATCTTTCCGACTATTCCAATTTTCATTCTATTCATTAAGTTGACGATCTCGTAAAATTAAAAACTATAAAATTAGCCGGAAGTTCAAATTGCAAATTCGATTATTAATGTGTAAATAAGAAAATGGCATGAAAAAAATTAAATAAGAAAAGTGCTAACTGACACTGAGCGTTACTGGTAAAGCTCGCTCCATTGGCTCCATATATTTTTGTCAGAGAATTAACTGAAGAAAGGCGCATCATCAGCATTTTTTAATGATTTATTATTGCCAAGGACAGAGGCTAAAACAAAACACATTCGGCCATATAACTCCCCTACATAAAGACCTTAAAAGACCTCAAAGTAGTAAAAACCATAATAAGGGATAATACCAGCAATAACAGCAAAAATTACCATTTATATGGATCAACTTTGCAATATTTTTGATTATTTTTTTTGTGGGTCACTTAGTGTGTAGCTATCCATTAAAAAAGTTGAATTGTACTCAACAATGGCTTAGTCGATAATAATTATTACTTTCCAATTTATAATATATTTTTCCAACATTCCAAAATAATCCTTTTCAGGCTTTCATCTGGTTTTAGATTGAAATTCTTCTTCTAATAGCTCTCACCATTATTGATTAGGCTGGCTCTATTGGTTACAAGAGTAAGTCTCCAAACTGCTCAGTCCGACACCATCGCTAGTAGTAATAGAAGTAGTAAAACCATTCCTTTTTCTATCGTCTAAGCCCATATATCGCTGGTCCCCTTATGTTCAAAATCTTTCCTGACTGTATCATTCTAGGTTTTGACTGGCACTCCTCGCTTTTGACGCCAATCATCACAGAGTTTAGCAAATAACAAAATATGCAACTCCTGTGGTGGACGACGGAGAATGTGCCCTAATCAGCGAACGCTCTATGATGATATTATTAATATAGGTGGTATTTGAGCGAAGGTGGATACCATCATGTGCGATTTTATCTGCTCGGCGGATCCGGATCCGTAAAATGTACCTGAGTGGTCAAAGGATAGCTTCTTAATATCTTCCACTCTCATTGGCCATGTTTCGCAGCCATATAGCAAGAATAAGCAAATTGCAGCTATATGGACGCGAATTTTCGTCTTTATGGTGACTTCGGGACGGTCTATAAAGGTTTCATCGACCGGAAAAACATTATTCTAGCAGTCGTTATCCGAGTTTCATTCTTTGCCTGACCATTTGGGATTAGAGTGGATCCAAGGTATTTAAAGTGGGGCGTTTTCTCAACCGGCAATGAATTGATAAAAATTGATAAATAATAATTTTACAATAACTAAAGGAAAAGGAGAGAAGAATAAATATGGAGAAGAGGACAAGATTTTTCAAAATAAGTTAAAAAGAGTCGATATTAGTGTGAAAAAGGAGGCGAAATGGCATAACATTCCACAAAATTGTCCTTAGATGTGTTTATTATCGCATTTGCCATTTGCCATGCGATCTAGTATTCAATAAATCTAGGTTTCAAACCAATTTCTCATAATTTCAAGGGCTAAGCGTTATTGTAAAAATAGTCGATTTTTCCGAAATAGGATTAGAATTTTTGGTCCTTTAGAATCATCAGAACCGCTTTGTGCATAAAGCTATATGGTGAATCACTTGTGTACACGAAAAAGTCATTAATTAATTATTCGAGAATAAATAAATGTAAAGGGTCATCTAAAAGGTTAATGGGTTGAATTATTTGAAAAAATTTCTTGAGCTGCTTAAATGCAATGGGTTATCTCAACTGACTTTTGCCAATGCTAAATAGCATTAAAAAATTATATCCCACATTTATGCAAATCTAACTATTAAACACACATTTATCCATTTGTTACAAGAAAATCGCAATGCTCAATAAAAATTTCGGCCGATAAGTATTTCATGTTTGTCTAGAATTAATGCCTGGAATTAAACTATCTGGTAATTTCCATTTGCTACTTTGACTTTGTCAAAATATTTACTCATTTTAAAGGTTCAAAACTATATAATCTGATGATTTCAAAAATTCAATAAAATTCGAAATATTTTAGCAATAAATAAATGAAATTAAAAGGCAATAAAAACCTTGAAGTGACACCTCAAAAGGGTAATTCGTACTGAAAAACCTATTCTTTTTTTCTTAAGATTGAACAAAAAACCACACAAAGAGTGTCTATCCAAAAACGGTAAATTGCTATAGAAATGTCAATTTTCTTTTTTTTTCTTATTTTCAGATATTTCCGTTCATTATATTAGCCTGTTGCGTGTGGTCATTTTTAATACATTTTGACACGAGACAATTTTAACGCTTCAAATGCTTTTGCCAACATGAAACTTCGAATACTGATGCAAGAAGCATTTAAGCATTTCAATTAGCTTATTTTCCAGCTGATAAATCCATAATAGCATAAATCCATAAATCCATAACACAGAAAATAGTTAAAAAATCAGTGAATTGCAGAAGTTTAACTGTTCATCTTATGCTTCGATTTGAAATAAGTCGGAATTCGAATTTTGATTTCGCAAATTAATAATATATCATTTATAAATTTATTTATTTTTTTTGCATGAACACTTCGGTCATGATTTTATTTATTTAATAAATAATATATTGTGTACATTTAGATATAAAATAATGTATATAAAGCACTGCATTAGATAAGAATAAAAATTCCATAGTTTTTAAAAGAGGCGAAGCAAAATGCTATAAAACATTCACAACAACCGGGTATGGCAATATGCTGCGTAAAATGTTACATGAGCTCATACAATACAACATAAATATATGATATCAACTAAAATAAAACAAAAATATCTGATAAAATCACTCAATCTTCTGCAATAATGACTTCAAGAATATCAAATTTTCTATCAAAATAAGTAATCTTTGAGATCTATAACAGGATAGCGATAATTTGTTTAGGGATTAAATAGGAACATGATTTTTGGAGGATTAAAACTAGTAGATGACGGGCAAGATCGCCATATTTAGGGTAGAATAAGGGGTGAAAAAAATTGAGTAAAGGTAAAACAAACTTAAACATAATTTCATTCACTGTTATGTCGTAAACTTTTTTCCTAAAAGCGCCCACAATTGCCGCTTTTCGGACCAGACGAACTTTTCCAGAGACTTAATTGGTGATAGAAGTTTTAGATGAATCATTGGTATCATCAGAAATCTTGATTTCACCGCGTGATCTTACATTTTTTGTAATTTTATTCATAAAGAAAATTTCGACGGTTCGAAGGTTAACTCTACTATAGACTAATTCATAAATTATTTGGAAAGAGAAAAGATTTAATCCAAGTTCGAAACCTATTATAAACATTAATTGTGCCGCGAAGACCTTTAATATCAAAAAAGATATTTTGTTTAATTATGGTAGCAAATAAGAAAAAAACAATTTAATCTTTCTGTCGTAAAAATTTTTTGCGTCATAATTCGAATCTTTTGTGTTCGAAAGAAATGTTTCCATCGGCAGATTCAGGAGATAAATATATGCTATTCGTGGAATCGATATGGGGCTTCAATGGGTAAAAGTTATCTGACCTGAAATGATTGGTAGAACCATAATTCTGGAAATATTGCTGAGGTAAATAATTGTCTTGGTTAGGCAGTTGAAATGCGCAATTATTCATTGGCGTTGGAATATAGCAGTTCTCTTGCGTTGAACATTGTTCTACGATTGGTGGCTCAGCAGTTGAATGGATCGGCTCAAATGGTTTATCGCATGTTCCGTGTAAGACAGCTTCCAAATATTTAATGTATCGTGCAGCTTCTCGAAGAGTCTCTACTTTGCTTAGTTTCTTACTTGTCGTTGAATGTGGCACGTGATCACGAAGATGGATAAAGCCTAGATTCACCTAAAAATTTCGATTGGTCATTTCATTTCATGAGTATAAAGTTAAATTATGACTCCGTAAATTTCATTTGCAATGAATGGTTTATTATTGGCTAGGCCTATCCAGCTTTATGCGAAAATACTCAGTGTTAAAATTATGGGAACAATATGAATAATAAAGAAGAAAGAATATTATCTTACTACTTAAATGTCACTATTTAGAGAAGTCATATGCAGCGTTCATCTTTTATTGCCATAATCCTTAAATTTATGCATCTGTCGGTGTCAAAATTCCCGCTGGCAGAATTATCACTATGCGTGGACATGTCTTTCTTCACATAGATAATAAAAAATAAAAGTAATAAAAATCTCGCCTGGTTTTTCATTACTTTTAGCTTGGAATCAATTAAAATCATTTTCATTTATCCTAATTTAAGATAGTTTACAGATAAAGAAAGAATAAATATGGATTCTAATTCATTCATTTTTCTCATTGATTTATTTGGTTTTTTCTAGTTAAAGCTAAAATATTCAGATGACTGCTGGAATAAAGGTTTTGTGTTAATTTCTTGTCTTTTCATTTTTCCTTACTACTAAGCTCTCTATAATAAACCAGTAAACCAGTTAAACCAGTTGGATTTTCACAGAGAATAATCTAACAGAATAAAAGCTTTATTGAAATATCCATACGAATTACCTTTAAAATATTTTATCTAGCAGAAATATTCAAAATAAAATAAAGATTATTACAATTATTATTGTTAAGAATTAAATCACCAACTTGTTGAACTCTTTTCCTTTCTCTTTCATTCCGTCGAAGAACTTGATGCGGAAGTTTATTTGCGATGCCACCAGATTTAGTTTTACGAATTTTTATCGCATTTGAAGGAAATGTTCCTATCGATCTGGGCATTTTTTTAAAATACAGATATAGATGGAAGATAAATTTCGAATATCCTGTTAGAAAAGAATATGAATAATATTGTAGTGGTACTATCCTGGTTTAGATATCTTAAACTAATGATCAGAATAAACAAATAGATGATCGAGACAGTAGAAATGAAATGAGGTGCATCGTTTATGTCCACTTCTGGTCAAAAAAACCCCGCCTTCACATTTATTAATAAAGGCGGAGCGCAGCATTTTATTTTTACCATTATTTGCGCGAAAATATTCTGGCTGATAGAGGTTAGAGGTCACAAAAATTGATGAAATTGGAAATTCACGCAAGTTTACTTCATTTAAAGGTCATGCTTATGAACTTATGCTTCATTGTAATGAAATATGAATTTATGTTAATCGCATAATTAGGATCCACCATAACCGATAAATTCACATATTTAATTTCTTAGTAGCACTTGTCACATCTATTTTGCTGGCTTCACTGGACACGCCACTGAAGTGAGACGATTTAGCCAAGAAGTTAGCGATAGAGATATAGCAGCTTGCACCATTAGTGCCCTAGTTATTTTCAACAACAGGACCCCTAAAGGCAGAAACAATGTTTTGCCTACAAAATTGAAGTAGCATACTACTTGGCCATTTTATCCCGAATAAAATGATAGAATGAATAAATCTTTATCGCCAAATGGTGTGCACGATCAAAATCAAAGTAGGCTACGGGATGGCTGCAAACTTTGTATATTTTTTCATGTTTGTAGAGAGAAAGTCAACAAGCAATTTTGAAGCAACAACGTAAATAGAAACAACAAACTTTTTGTAAAATATGAACAATTTTGGCTTAAAAAATTTGTATTGTTCTTTTAATGCAAATCACTAAAATAAGAAATGAGCCAGAAAATAGATTTAATATTTAATTGGTATTAATTGATGCAATTATTTTGCTATTTAATCAAAAAAACGATAAAAAATTGAATTAAAGACCTTGCATTTAGCAAAAAAATACCTTAAATGATAATAGAGGGCGAATAGATAATGGTTTGGGCTATTTTCCTAGAACTGCAAAGGCTCAGCTGCATTCGATTCAGAATCTGTCAATTCATATGATGCCGGCGATCTACATCTATCAGCAAATGGTTAAAAATTTCTAACTAAACAGTTCTTTAGAAATGGTTGAGCACTTACCACTCTTTTTTGAATTTCTTATGTTGAAGAATAGTTCTTGTGGTAGTGGTATTCAACTAGAATTGGAATCCATAAGATCAGACCATTTTTTTACACCCTCGACCCTTGACCTTACTGATATACAAACAATTTAAATATGAAGAAAGGTACTTAAAAGGTTAATTGTGTTTGCTTCTGCTACTGATATCATACTGGATGAATTCACTATTTGCTCTACCTTCTACTGGAGTTTACCAATCATCACTGGAAGATAGATTTACGAAAAATAAAATTTCGGTTGAGCAGATGTCAAATTGAATTGAAAATGGAATAAAGGATGACATGTTAACCACAATAACATTGGTGCGACCAAAAGTGGTCGCCATGATAACTTTTCAATTCTAACATCTATTCCACAGTTTTAATAATTGTTTTCTCTGGAGCGGTTATATTCTTCCGCAATCATAGTTATCATTAAAAAACTTTTCATTAAGGAAATCCAGTAAATCCTGAGACCATATATTTTTACCCACAACTCCCTGGTAGGCTTTAAAATAATCAAATATTTATTCCGCATTGTTTAGTGATTAATAGGCAAATATGAAAATACATCGTCTTACATACATCTTCACCAATTTCTTTACAGTCAATTTCTTATTTTTAATTGGTTTCATTTATTGCGTTGAGCTGCATACAATTATTGGCCTAATTGTTAGCAACGAAAATAGTTCGATAAACAATAGCAGCATAAAATCTTAGCACACAGTAATTTCCAAATAAATTTAGCTATTATCGTCATGGTAACGATCAAAACGATTGCCCTCTTTTGCTTGAAAAAAATTGTTTCTCTGTTGATATTTATAAATCAAGAAAAAATTTACAAATAAATTAAATCATAATCAGTTTATCGCCAACTATTATAATACATCTGCCCACTATAGAAAAACCTGTTCTCTCAAGCAAATCCTCTCATATATAAAACAATAATATATTTTAATCACACCCATTGACAATTGACAACTATTGTAGATTGATTTAAAATTTGATTTGAGCGCCAACCACAAGATTTGTTTGAATTAAGAATTTCCACAGGAATGTCGATTAATTAAAATGATTTTCATAATTAAATATTATTAAATATTAATATTAATATTGAATAATGATGGAATAATCCATAATTGAACTTGTTGCTATAAATTTGCAAAATTTGGCCAAAAATTTGGTAATTAAAATGGTTAATGTATTAATTATAAATTCATCTTCTGACGACATGCTCCGTTTCCAGTTAAACTGGCCCCATTCTCTAATGGAAAGAAAGAGACTTCTGTAGCAGATGATAGCGTAAGTAGAAAACAACTGGGTCCTCATCAATTACATGGGCTAATAATTAATTGGCTTATTCTTAAAAAATAAGCGTTTCATTTGAAAATCATAATGGCTTTAGTGAACATTAGTTTTATATCGACTTTGCCCTACCAAAAATCCATTATAATCATGGATAAAATAGAAACAAAATTGCATTTCGAGCGAAATCCTTCAATTTATTCGAAAACTAAAAAAAATTTCGCCATATTATATTAGCTTTGAAAATACCGACTTTTTTGTTCTGTTCTTCTTATATTCTAAGGAAAAAAACGATTCAAAAGGAAAAGTCGACTTATTTCATAGATTTGTTCAATTTTGATCTCTCATTCCGGTTTGTATGGAATTAAGTTGAATGAATTTTTTGGGCGATTTCGAAATCGAAAAATTTTCCGCGATTTTTTTCGCAACATATTCATCTCGGCGATTTTATAGAAGTATTTTTATCTAACTGATTGGTAAAATAACATTATTGGCCACTAGTAATAGCCCAATAATCAATAGAAGTGGAGTGGTTTAGTGGGTAATGGCTCTCACTTCCGAGAGCAGGTTCTGGGATTCCAAAGACTTTCTTTAGCAAAGTCCTGCTTTCCGGTTGATGGCATGACCTGTACTGTCAAATCTGATGCGGCAAGCTAGCGGTGCAAGTCTAACCAGAAATGATGGTGGCTCTTAGAAAAATATAAATGAAGAGAAATGTTTAGTGAATTGGAACAAATATCAAAACCACATATGGAAATATCTCAAATTTCACGATTATATATCGGCAAATGTTTAGAAAAAGAGATCATAAAGGTATCACGAAATGTTGATCACTAAAAATCTTTAATTCTTTATGAAATTCCTGACCAAAATTTGTTTTAAATCCTTCACGATGAAATCAGATGCTTAGTAAGGTCAATTCACTCCTGTAGAGATTATTGCACATTTTGCATTTATTCGTAATCCTCATTCACTTACTTTTTTTCTAATTTTTAAAATATTTTATTGCCACTCACTAGCGATTTCCGCTGCAACCAGATGCAACAAACTACCTGTAACTGGCAATTTAATAATCGGAATTTTCTTTGCTACATTAAATCAAACAAAGAAGGTTAAATCAACAAAAATAAGATGAGATAAGTAGAACATGATTACATTCTCTGAGGACCCATTGCGGAATGATTTCAGTAGAATATCTTTACAGAGAAATTTTGCTGGAATTCGGTTAATTTTTCTGATTTGAAGGATAAAAAAAGACTAAAGGAAAAGACACAAATTTAGTGGCCATTCTGCGACATAAAATATGATTCTAGATGGTGTGTTAATGAATATTCAATGCATGTCATGTACATTTTTCATATATTGTGGTATTATCCTATAAATTATTCCAAATATTGATTGAGAAGGAATAACCAATAAGCGAATGGACAATGATGGATATTGGTCAATGTTAATTATTTGCAACGGTCATTAGCTCAATATTTGCCCTTAGCATTCGCGCCATTTTTTCGGACTTATGGCTAATTAATATGGACAATAGAAAATAGCTCATCTATTTAATAATATATGGCAAATGTAAGGAATTAAGAATAAAGAATGACCGACAAATTTTAGTAGCAAAATAATAATAATATGTATAATTGTGCGTAAATGATAATGATATTTAATAATGTGATATGTTATAGATTAGTAAAAAAGTGGCTGACAATTTCAATTAGGCTATTAATAAACTTATAATAACTTATATTAATAAACTTATTTCATGGTCTATTAATAAACTTTAACCTTTAGGTCGCTAGCGCCACCCGGATTTTTAATGACAGGCTTACTCGTGTCGGACAGAAAAGACGAAACACTAACTCCATAGTAATCCCATCTCATATTTTTATGCCAGTGACTTCTTTATATTTGTTTTTATCAATTATAATTCTATTTTCTGCAAAATTTTAAAAAAACGAAGATTGCTCATTGTTCATTGTTCAATGTTTGAATTATTTTTATTTTTTAATGTTCCAAATTATTTAAAGTTGTCGAAAAGATTACAAAAAGTATGAAATCAAAAAAATGAGCGAAAAAAAGTGCTCAAGGAATTATTTAGAAATTTTTTCTGAAAATAGATCCAACAATAAATCGCTATTACTATTTCATGAAGTAAATATTTTCTTTTCTAAGTTCATCATTTCTGGTTCGATTTGCCCACCTAACTTGTTTGACTTGTCACCAAAATTTCGAGAAGTTTACGAACAAAATTAAGCAGTTATTTAATGGAAACAGATTTTTGTTGGAGAGTGAAGCAATGGAAATAGACCGAAGGCATATTCCAGTAATTGTAAGCATGTCGAGTGCTTTTTGTCGGCGTTTTTTTGACATAAACTGATTGGAGGATTCATTGAACTAACCATAATTAACATATTAAATGGTAGATCGCACTTAATTCGAATAGTTAAAAGCAGCCGCTCTGCCCTGAGGATGATTAAGTCTGAAAATCAACCATCTTGATAATCTCAACCATTTTTCGTCTTTTGCTCGCAGGTTTCGTCTCTGTTACTTTGGTTTTTTTTTTTCTAGCATTAATCATTAAAGGCTTACGAATGGATAACAGATTTAAAAAGTGCTTAAAGTCATAATGGAAAAGATTCCATGGAAATTATCGCTTCTATGCATTACTGAACTTGACGTTAATGAAAGTACGTTCACCACTTTTATATTGCGGAACAAATATGCATAGTTCGATGTTACTTTGATAATAAGGTTATGCTTCAAATTTCAGTCTGCGACATGCAACTATCCGATAATTAAATGAGATTTTTACCCATATTTAATGGAAAAGTATTAGATTAGGAGTACAAAATTTGAAATGCTCTTTTTTCATTTTTAAGCGACACTATTGCATGCGTCGTTGATATTAATCAAAAAAGATTATCCAAAGTCAAAATCAATAGTTCACTTTGGTGTCCCATAGTCCAGAACACTTTAATTAAATGAGTCGCTTAGGTTTTATGAGGATTTTAGAAATAATTCAGAAATAACTCGCCTCCTTATAATTCCTTCATATTCGCTTTCTTTTGTCTAAGGATTTCATGTTTTAATGTACATTATTTCTTGATTATCCTTCTCTTTAAGGAGATGACCTTATAAAAAATCCTATTAATGAAATCCTTAGATGAATGCTAGATTAACATTTGACATTCAAGTGAAAGGGCGATGATAATTCTTTATCAACCTCTATTATTTGAAGAGGAAGGCTATAACGATAAGAAATCAATAGAAAAATTTTTTCCAATGAGCTTATTTCAAAGAGAAATGAATTTTGAAGAAAATATGAATTTTATCTAAAATAATAAATATAAATTTATATAATAAATATAATAAATATAAAATTTTGCTACTGAAATTATTTTCACCAACTCAGAAATTCTAAAACAGAATTTTGATGAAACGATTTTCCATCAAAATATCAACTTCCTGCTTTAATTTTTCCATTATATTCGATGACATTGGCCTACTAACTAGAGTCGTAATCATTCATTCTTTTTCGATAACTTTTCATGAGAGAAAATAAAAACGTTGATTTACAATCGTTATTATTGTCATTATTATATATTATCTTTATAAGGAATACTTATTGTATCAATTATTTCATGAAGTTGGCATGGAATCTTTACCAACGGTGAGAGAAATCTTATGGCTGTCAACTTTTCCATCACATGAAAGTTATATTAGCTATGCGAAAAAAAAAGTTCCGCAGAATGGCCATGAAAACAAAGGTATTTTATCCATTAAGTTAATAAAGAGTTGTAACACATATGTTAATAGTGAATTTCGCATCGTGATTTTCGTAATTAAGGTTTAAAAAATTAAGAAAAACTCTTCTGAATTTTTATGGAAATACATCTGTAGCATTAAAAATCAAAAATTCAATAGAGCATGAAAATAAACTAATTTTTCGAATTCTATGGGTAAAAAAATGGCATAAGAGTTCAACTCAATTGGATTATTGAAGGATCGCCATTAATTAGAAGTGGTAACATAGACGATGAATAAGCGAAATGAACAATGAAACCCAGCAGAGGAATATGAGGATTAGAAATAAGGATTAAGCCTTAATAATATGTAGTATTCACAGTTGATGCTTAAAATAATATAGTTATACGAATTACATGCATATATTTATATTATACTAAAGAAGAAACAGAAATGATTTATTAAATCATCAACTGTGAATTTGCATGAATTTTTGCACATGAATTTTTCAATAAAATTTTTGCACACAATATTTTATAAAAAATCTACTAATCCCCGAAAATCCCAAATATTCTTGAAGTTCTTTCGAGGACATAGATTTTGCTCAACTGCAAATCAGTTTAAATTTTGGATTGATTTCAGAATTTTCATTGATTTAATTTTAGTTGATATCTAGGTTCATAAATTTTTAATACGAATTGATAATTAGTAATTGATAAAATGGCTTATAAAAAATGATTGGTTAATGTTGATGTGCGATGCAAGGAGAAATAAAGTTCGGTGCTAAATCATTAAAAATTCTCATATTTTTAGACGTTTGCATAATACAGCATTAAAAATATGGATTTGGTTGCATAAAAAATCTAAATCGCAAACTTAAATATTTTGGATATTAAGTTTATCAGTCGAACATAAAACAGAGTTTCTGCGAAAAACATTTTAAAAAATGGAAAAATATGAGAATAAATAGTTCTATAAAGAAATTTCTATGAAAAGTAAAGGTTGGAATTTATTACGTAATAAAATGAACGAATCCAATTATTATGCTTGATAATCATCGTTGCAATATTGCGGAACGATCAAAAATTGAAGATTTTCAAAAGCACTTTTTTTTGACCTCAAATGATCCCTTTTGACGTAACGTACGGTATGACTTTTGTTCGGACTTCAAAGATTTATCACAAGTGGCTAAATGAGCGTAAAAAATAGATTTGGCAAATTGATGCGTCAAACCAGCCTTAATTGTTAACAGACGCATTTTATTTTGCCGTAATTATTGAAAAGAAAAAAATGAATTAACTGGCAATAATTTGACAATGAATATAATATATAAAAATTCGTGAGGAAATCGCAAGGAGAAATAATGCTTCACTCACTTCATGTTCTTCATTCATTTGTGAAATATTATAATAAGGAAGCTCAAAATGTAATTTGGCTTTTTTCGAATTTCGCTAAAAATTAAGAGAAAATACTTCGGCGAAAAAAAAAATTTTTATAAAATGTGGCCACATTTTTCATCTTCATTTCAATGTAATAAGAAAGGGAGAAATAATGGATGTTGGCAAATATCAATCGATTTACCTGGCAAATCGTTAATGAACAGTTAGTGAATGAAAGATAATGCAATTACGTTGATTACGCTGATTTGAAAAAATCATCGAAAAAATATAAAAAGTAGAATAACATAATTGTTTGATCTAATAGCAAACAGCGCGACTTAAGATATTGTAAATTTTAGAACTCAAAATACTGGAAATCCATAGCCATCGTACTGCAACTTGTCTGCCTGAATTTCATTTCATTTAAGGTTGTTGCCTTTCGCAAAAAAAAATGTAACGAAAAAACTTGGAAGAACATTCGCTAAAAACAGTTCTGTATTTAGTAAATTTCATAACACTTCTACTAATTATTAGGTTTGTTCTTTTTATTTGAATTGCTATTTGAATTATTAAAAAGTTTTGGAACCATTCAGTGAAAGAAAGTGGAAGGAAAAATAGAAGACTCGAAAAAAAATGAAGCCAATGAATAATCTTTTATTTCATTCATTTTATTTTATTATATCATTCAAAATTGAATCAAACAATTAATTTTCAACTTAATATCGATTTCATTTCCAATTTCAATTTAAATTCAATTTCCAATGAAAAATTTTATTTTTCACTGATTTTTATTTTTACATGTAAAATTTAATTCATTGTTTAAAAAATTTATTAAAAAATGGAAATAATAGATTTTTTGCAAACATAGGGATTGCAAAAGAAATGTCTGCATCTTTCAGCCAAGTACCATGACGTTAACAGAGATTTAAAGGTTGCAATATATGAAATTATTCCACAAGAAAATTGCAGATTCGCTGAGACATAGGCTTCTGCCTTACTAACTGTGATAATCCTACCTAAGTTAAGAAATTCTACCATTGAGAAGTTTAAAACAAATCGAAAATTTTAAAAGAGTGGCTGTGCTACAAATGCTAAAAATTAAAATTAAAATAATTGGGTAAGGGCAATGTAAGCTCGAGCCGGCGGTTAATATAATTAATAATATAATATAATATAATATAATATAATATAATATAATATAATATAATAATAATGATAACTGATGGAAATGGGGATAGAATTGCTCAGTTGATTGTTGCTCAGTTTGGAGCGCCGATGCTGAAGTTCGATTCCCGAAAGGAGTAAACTTGCACAAAAATTCATGAAAAATGCTGGCTACTCACCTGTATTTCTATCGCCAAGGTTCCCTAGCATATTGCCCAATGCAGTGCCAGTGCAGCGAGTTTAACCAGTAATGGTGAGGGCTCTTACAAAAAAAAGTAAGATAATAATAATATAGATAGATAGATAGAAATAGAATAATAGCTCTTCTCCAGTGACGTTGACTGGTAAAAAACACGGCAAGAAAGAAAAATTAGTGGATTATCATTTTTCATAACAATCGAAGGAAATAACAGAAGTTATTAGAAAATCAAAACAAATTTTAATAATTTTCCATGGACATTTTTCTTGAATGTTAAAATAATAGTAAATAAGTACTTTGTGGATCCAAACTCCAAATTCCGAATTGTAGGATCAGAAATGAAAACAATAGAACATTGGACAAGCACTCTTAAAACACTAGATGTTTTTTGGAAGTTATGGATTATAGAAGATTATCTCGCAAGTTTAAGAGAACGCCTACAAAAAGAGGTACATTCCCTTAGACTTATAGAGCATAGATTGCCACAAGTAAAAGAAATAATTTTATTGGTGGTGCCTAATGTCTCTCTTGGTATATGGAATCTTGCAAGATTAATCAAACTTAATAAAGGTCTGGATGGATGGACGTAAAGTGCCACCAATACAACTGCCAAATGGGAAACAACTCGATCGTTCTATAAATATCGAGTAACATAAACATTTTGCTTTGCCCACTGGAAATCAACAGCGTTAATAACAACGATTTCAGCAACACAGAGAATTTTTTAGAGGACGATTCTGAAGAATAAATAGCCGAACTCGAAGAACTGCGTCACATACCGAAATTACCAGTAAGACCATCCAATAATTTTTTGAAAACGTTATCATTGACAATATTATGAGTAATAATGGCACAGATTGTAGTCGCGAACAATTGCAAATGGACTTCCGGAATACCTTTTAACATCCCACACAAATGGAATTGTGAGGAAATCATCAATCAAACATTACGTTGCACAAAGCGGAGGTGCACGTACGCGCCCACGTAAGAACACCAGCTATCAAATGCAATAATATCACAAGAACAGTATATACAAAGTCCCTTCTCAGAGTATCACTCTCAGTAGTTTTAGACCATGTAACTTCACCAATCTCGTTCCAATTTTGTCAGTTAATGCATCTTCAAAAAGGGATTGATGGAATCACATTATTCTAATCTTCCCTTAATAAATGGATAACGAAGTACAATATTCATACGGATGATAGGGAGTTAAATGTCAATCGACAACGAATTTCGTATTAATTGAAGGAGAAATATTTTTAAATGACGGAGAGGGATTAATTTCTAATTTGGATAATATCGACTACTGCATGGTGAAATTGGGTATTACTGTATTACTAACACTAGTATTGTTTTATGGAACAGTACTGATGTAGTAAATCATTGCACATATCAGAGAGTTGGAAAATTCGAAACTATGAGATACGGAGATCACTTCATTATCAATGAATTACAAGTCTCATTCATAATCGATAAAGAGGACAACACAATCATAACGACAAATTCACCAACCCTTATTTAATGAAAGCAAACATTATCCTTGATATGGATACTGAAAATCTTACGAAAAATCAAAACGAGGAACAACAAAATAAATTACTTATGGTGGAGACTTCTCCAGAAAAGAAATTCGATCCAAATAACGTAAGGTTTCAATATCTTTTCGATTCATTAAGACAAGAATTTATTCAGCAACTCAAAGTAATATATCAATGCAGCTGCCAGAACAGAAATAATCTACTGCTTTTAATGGAAGGATTATTTATTAATTATCATACTGTCACCACCAAAATGATATACAAAGAAATGATATAATAGCTAAAAGAGTAAATGGGAAATTATTAATAGCACCATATAACTTCAAGAAAATTACAACCCAAAATATCGAATTTAAAAGAGGTCTATTAGACAATTTCCACCAAAGGATAATCGACCAAAGGATGATTCTCTTTCTTAAGTGATTTCCGAACAAGGAGAAGCACTAACAAACCAAATAGGAAGGGAATTCGACCAAGTTATTCAATCAATCCAAGCAGAACTTGAAAGTATAGCAATACATTGGAGATTAATAACTGCTTGCTTAAATATTGTTACAATTTCTCTAGTAATAATTAGCTTTAAATTTAAACTCGTATTCCTACGATCCTTCTTTTGTTTTTCACGAGAACGATAATCAAATCACACAAATATCACCTTTCTTCCTACGGAATCTAAAAGTATCCAAGTTCCAGTTATTAGACTTAATACCTTTTTCTATATACCTGAAGACCCTCTAATCGAATTTCCACACTAAATTTTCCTCTCTTCTCCCTTTGGGAGTGTCGCGAATTCTGATATCGCGAGACTCCCACCAAATTCCAAGCAAATAAATAATCAAATAGATTCTTCATTGTAAATAAATGTTATCAATATTATGAATCATTTAAATGATTTTATATTCCTTCGATTTATTTCCCGTTAAATTTCCATGTTTTTCTGTTTTCTGTTTTAATCTAAGTTCATTGTATTCCTGTTATACTGGAAATGCCTTTTCTAACAATCACTTAGAATCCAATCTATCCAATTCACACGCTAATCTTATTTGATCTTATTACAATGCTTTTACTGTAAACCACGGTATGTTGATATATATCCTCTTAGATGCTCGGAATGTTTGATGTAAACCACTCCCACTTTCAATTACATATAAACCCTATTGTAAACCAAAGACAGTTTTTTCTTGGAATAAAATTTCTACAGTCTGTGGTATCTCGTCTACAACTCAACCCAACCCAACTCAATTTAACTCAACGCAATCAAATCACTGGTGGTATTTAACTACTGAACGACATCACTTCACTGTATAATAAATTCACGACAATTAGTTAACGCAAATATTAAGAACATATTTCTATGGCCACTGTTAGAGATTGTACGCATTCAATCTTAAAATTTAAAATTTAATTTAATTTACTCTTGAAATTTAATTTACTTGTCGTTTTATAAAGCTTTTAATAAAAATAAGAAATTTCTGCAATATTTCAAGCCAAAGATTATTTTACATTAAAATAGTCTTTCTGAAAAACAAGGCGATTGGTACTCATTATTTCAAGTTATACTCGGCAGGCTATTCGTATATTTGGAACACTGATAAGAGAATTATGGCAAGATTCAGCAAAGAAATCACAACAATAATAAGACTTTTCCTTCTGAATATGTCTCGAAAATGAACGATTTTCAGAAGGCATTTGGTACTACTATTGAATTAAAACTATTTATTTCAACAGTATTAACTGTAATGATACAGCTATAATCATTTGTAAAGGCCTTTTGTCAATTCCCACTTCATGAAAACAATAATAGAAATCATTCCATTAATGAAACTCAAATGAATTCAATGGTAAATTTTGGTGGTGTTTTTTGTATATCATGATTATCACATTTGGGAAAAATGTGATAATCGTTGACGCAAAAAGGAACTCACGTAATTAAAGTGAGAGTTTTTTTTTGAATATGCAATAAAGAAAGCCGTTCTTCTCAGGAAGAACTTGGAAAAAAATATTTTATTATAATACATCAGTATTGATTTCGATCGAACATTATATTTAGTTGGATAATTCGGTAATTCGTAATTTCCTCAAATTTATAAAATTACAGTTTATTGAAAATGAAGAAAAATATATAGTGACAGATTTATCTCGAAAGAACCAAAATTATAAAAAGAGCTTGATGCACCTTCAAAAAATTTAAAATTAATGTCACTTGAACTTTAAAATAAAATTTAGAGCGTAAATTTTTGAATATTTTGGTTTCTATCCACATTTTTTCGCGCTGATCCCATTTATCCCTACTGCTTGACTAAAAGTTTTATTTATCTGTTCGTGATCATCAATTTTCTTTCAAATTTTATCCGAAACTTTTGCAATCTTTTATAAATGGCAAATTATAGAGTATTTTCGATGGGAATCCTAGCTAATTAACTTAACAAAACAATTTTAACTTGAATTTTTCATCGAGAAACAGAGCAGACAGTTACATTATATTATTATAAAAATGTTTTATTTTACAGTATGGATTTAAAAAAAACTACAGTTCTAAAATTGTTTATTGTTGTGGAATGAAGTGTGCATTCCATTCCATTCGTGCCGTTCAAAGATTAAAAGTAATTCGCATGCTCGCTGGGAATACGTTTTTATGTTTTGCTATGAAATAAATCATACTGAAGTCATAATAAGTTTATAATAAGTCCATTTTAGAAAGCAAATATTGTTGGAAACCTTGCAAGCCTCATTTAAAAAATTGAACATTGTTGTAAATTATAGACAATATCGGATGCTCGATTGATGTGCTCACAATTGCAATTATACGGCCATACATGCTTTTTTTTCAAAATTGACGATTTTTCGATGGTCTGAGCGGGATTTCCATCCATATTCCGAGTCATTTAACTGGTTATTTCTCGAGCTTCGGTTGCCTTGCAAAGTACAGATGGCTTTCAGCGAATGTTCGAGTTGTTCCCATTATCACTCCAGTTTTTCTATTATTATTTCTATTGTGTTGCCTACTGAGTTGAACTGTTTTTCATCTAAAACCCAGCTTACATTTTTCTGAATCCTGTATCCTTACTTAGCTGACTTAGCTGACGTTGGTTGTGGCAATTTAACTGCGACCAGCATTTTTATACTTCACCTCAGTTCAAAATTTGCTGAATGCATCTGAATTTTTAAACGTCGTGACAGCCAAAAGATTAGCAGAGTTGCTTAAAAAGATTAGGGAGAAGTTTTCTGCGGTATAATTTTCATTCGGATCTTGATTCTATTTACCATAGCATTTGTTCAGCTCGTAAAGGTTCTCCTTTTCCTTTTCCCTAATCTTGGTGAAAGTTTATTACTTTAAAGGGAAATCCGATGGTGCTGATCTGGATTGTGCTTCTTTCCGATTATATTTCTTATATTCGCCCACAAAAAATTTTAAGATATTCTCTGGCTAAAAGCTCGACAAAATATCGTTAATATTTATATTTGTTCAAAAATGAAGAACTTTGAAATTGAATATTTGAAAATTTAATGATATAACTTTTGGATAATACTGCTTTTGCCAAAAGATATTTTTAAAAATGTAAAAATATATATTTTTAAAAATATATTTACAATTTTGCTGGTTGCCTTTTATATTTCTTTTTGCTTCCAGCATTACTCGAATTATGAGCAAAATCATCGGCATTTTAATCGCTATTTATAATCGAGCAGAATGTATTATGAATTATGCATGCAGCCGTAGATCAAGAAATTACAAATCTGGGTTCGCGACATTTGGATCAGAGTAGGTGATAATTAATATTTGCCAAATCATAACACGATCTTATATGAAAAATTATGAGTCACTTTCAATGGTATAAAGTGTTGGTCCATAATAGCGGACATGGATTTCTTTAATGGCCGATGATCTCTATCATTTAGTGCTAGTTTTGTTGGTCTTTTTCGATATATTAACGATCAATTATCAATTATTATCAAAATCACATTAATTAAACCATTTCTAATTAGATTAGACTAGCGTCATTGGTAGTTAGTTAGAACAAAAGAGTTACACAACCAAAGAACTGTAGATAAATCAGCGAAACCTGGTTTTTTTAATGAAAAATTCATTCCTGTAAAATACACGACTTTCTTAAGCTTCTCTCTTAATACGATGGTAACCATTATATTCGAACTTTCTAATTTAATTCTAAAATTAATTAGATTCTAATTTAATTCCAAAATTAATTAGATTTTGTCCTTATTGGTGGGCCAGAAAATTTATTTATATTATAAAACAATTTTTCCATTGAATTTTAATATCATTAAAATAAAAATTTTAAGACATCCATACTCTAATATAATAACAATTTGTTCCAGAATTAAGCAGCAAAAAAAATCAATTGAATGAGTTCAGAGGCATTTCAGAGGTAAAGAAAATAAATTTGGATTAGTCGAATAGTTACGACTGACACATGCAAAGCAATGAGAATCTATGCCAAAAAAAGGTCTGATTTTTTAAAGGCCTTATTGATTTTAGCTGCAGTATATTTTTCCAACAATAAGTTTAGATCCATAAGCGATGAGATCTAATGGATTGTTATTATTATTAACGCTTTTCTGTAGGATGTAATCTAATCTTCTTTTCTTATAGTAGCAAAAAATTGGAAATAATAGTTTATATAAAATTAAAACAAGAATCGTCCATAAAAGATTAATTAATAAATGATTACTCTAGTAATCAGTAATTGTCCTAGTTTTATTATTTATATTAGTATTTCTATTTTCTACTGTTTACTGTTCTAAAACCAGCCATTTGCCATTACTTTACTTAAATAGATGAGCATATAAGAACCATTGTACAATGGATTATATTAAATTAATAGGACTCGACAAACTTATTTTTTAAATTTTTAAGGGCTAAAAATAGTACCGTACGATGCATGAAGCATGTGCCAAGAATAGTTTGTAATTGAACAGTAAAAGTGATAAAGGACTCTAATTTTAAACATAAGGTGATCTTGGAAACAGAAAATCTCCTATCGCATCAACAAATATGCATCTAAAGCTTCAGCCTGATTCCAGCCTGATTTTATAGATGAGGCTTTCAAAATATCAATCTATTTCCAATTAGAATTCACTGAAAAATTCTGAGCTACTATTTTATCGCAATGTATGTTGGATGTAGGTCCACAATTTGAAGAAATAAACTGAAGGATCATAGGTATTTCCTTTTTTATGAATGGGAATTTTGTGGGATGATTTCCGAATTCTTGGATTTAAGCCATTTCTTATAATATCCTTGTAAATTAAACACAGAAGAAGGCTTCGAAAGACTACATACTTTTTATAAAATGTTTGTGCATTATAGGGACCAGCTAAAATGAATGGTTTGAATTTATTTTAAGGCGTCATAGGCATCTAATAGATTTATATCCATCTCACTGACTAAACAGCAACAACTTCGATGTTCATTGAAAAGAATGCTATAACATAATATCGAAAGTGATCACATCATTTTCTTTTCATGGAAATTTGTGGACATGCAATATAAATGTACACAAACCTGTGCCGACGTACATAGATAAATATGAATTATCCTTTATGAATCCAATGATCTTCTCTATCACCATCGCATTCCATCATCCACCAAAGTGCTGCTCTATCAACTCAATCGAAGACATATGCAAAATCGATGAAACATATGGTGGTGAGTTGCTAATAATATTTGAAACGATGTTCCAATGTCCTTTTTAACGTGAATATCTGGTCAACACCGCCTGAATTTAGTTTGATTAGGAACATCTTGTTGTCTCGTTAAAATTCTATTCAATAAGGCAAGCAAAAATTTCCTCGAGGACTTCTAATAGGGTCACAGTATATCCTGTTATTTTTCTTGGAAATTAGGAACAGAACTGCTTTGCTGCAGTCATCTGGCAATATTTTTTTTTCCCATACCAGAGAGTACATTTGTTTAAGGTGTGTCCTTCATAAGGACGATGGACAACATTTAAAGAATTCACCCTGAAGACCATCTTCTCGCGAAGTCTTATTAGCCTTAAGCTTATACATAACAGCTATTATTTCTTCTTTTGTCGGAGGCTCGTAGTTGCAACCATATAGTTCACCGAATGTATCAGTTATATCAGGGACAACAGATGGTTAAGTTTGGTCTCTTTCAAGATTTCTTTCCATCTTATGAGGCGGTCTTTAATACTCTTGACTGGCACACCATTGCTATCACTTACCATTTCACTGATAGTTCCCAGAGTTATAGTTGCTTTATGAAGAAGGCGGAATAGTTTCCTATTATCGCCTAATCGAGCCTCCATTTTTGAAGCCATGTCACTCCAATAGTAATTTCTATCCCACCGTGCTGCTTTCGTTGCAAATCTTTGAAGAACCCGGTAGTCATAATCACCTGACATTTACATTTTGGCTGCTTTTTTAGCTAGCTGGACAGTTGCTTCCGATACCCAAATAGTACACTTCCTACTAGTAGCCCTAACGTGTAAGTGGCTGACTTTCGGAGACATTCCTTTAGTTTGGACCAGTATTTATTTGCCGTTCCAGAAAAATCATTGATATTTGTATCATTAAATGCTTCAATAATTCGGTTTGAAATGCGCTTACTCCCCGAATTTTTTAGTTTGAAATAGTTGAAGGATCGTGGGGGATGCTGTTTCTAAGATTTTCAATTTTATGCGGATCTTGGCTCGAACCATAATATTATTAAATCCATGAAGATTGCTCGTTTCAGCGCTGCGATAGGAACGACCATCAAGTACGGAACTCTTCCAATGATAACTGACTAAGAAATAATCAATCTGGTTGGGTGTTGGTCATCTAGGGAAATTCCATGTGACTAGATGCAGAAAGCAAGTATTAATAAAAAGTTCATGCTCTTCGGCACAGCAAAGACGTTTCCCATTGGCACTGGTCTCCGATGCCATATTTGCCAACTGTTAAGGCTATCGCAATGGCATTATGATCCACGCGTGTATTCCAATCTTCTCCGATAATGACCATGTTATGTTTCGGTAGAAACTTTGTTAGCAGTTGAAATGCCGCATAGAACTTATCTTTATCACTATCATCTGCTAACACAGAGCATAAACACTAATATTGCAAATACTGAGATATTGCAAAACTTACCTTTAAAGCATAGGCCATACGGTCGCTTACCGATTTCCACTCAGTCAAAACGGAATAAGTTTTTCAGATATTACAATCGCTACGCCATTTCCGAGTTATCCATAGTAATATACACCATAGTAATATAGCCAGTTCCTCTTTTCCGAGGCAGGATTAATAATCACTCGAGACTCGAAATAAGGAAACCTGAGACATACCTCCGACAAGCAAGCGATATCCACACGGAATTTAAAAAGGGTGTGGGTAGTGATCGCTTGGCAACGTCCATAAGCATTCTGATATTACACGTTGATGAAGCTAAAACCTCGCCACGCATGCAGAGAGCTGTTCCACTTGATAGGCAATTACGCTGACTTGCGAGCACATTTTATTTATCAACCTTGGATCGCTTTAAGCCCGGATTGTGCATTTATCGCATGTACCATCGGGCTGAGAGTATCACGCGCTTCTGGAGACGCGGACGTCGTATCAAAAATATCTTATTCCTTCACCATAGAGTCACTTAGGTATAAAGATACAGGTGGGTTCCCAGCAGCTACCCGTATTTTTGATATAATTGCAGGTTTTCTCCTACCAAAGATAAAAAATTAAATTAAATTTAAAGAAAATAATAATTAAATTTCAAAAAAAATATGTACATATACATGTATATATATAAAATATATCTTCTTTTTCTTCTAACAGCTCTCGCCATTACTGGCTAGCCTGGCTCCAAAGGCTTTTATATATATATATATATATTCTATTTAATTCTATTCTTGTGAGCGGTTATGTTAGTCATTCTCTCTGTTTTTCATTATTTTATTGTATTGTGCTTCGCTAAACTATAGAAGGAATACATTAATCTTATCACATTCGTCTGAAAGATATTTTTTTTAAAAGTATATTGATCTTATTGTTTTATACCGTTCACTTGTAAAATAAGAGGAAATTCCAAATGGCACCGAAAAAGGTAGCAGCTTATGGGGTCGTTTCCAATAATGATATTAGCTGTTTAAATAAAACTATCGAGGATATGAGGTCACAACTAGCTTCCATTACTGAGAAATATGAAAAACAACAAGATCTAATTGTGTATTTAACTAGATCTGTTGAAATACTTACAAAGGTCAACGAAGAACTTAAGAATGATATTAATAATTTGAAAGCTTCGTCTTTGGGCAACTTCGATCATTCAAAAATTGAAACTGAACAAGTATTGGAAACCATTGAAGAATATTTTGAAAAGAAGGAAAAAGAACCATGTCTGGTCGGCATAAACATTCCAGAGAAATCTACGGATGATGAATCTGCTACTGCCGATAGGCTTTTAGCAGAAAACATTGTAGTTGCCGATGGGTTCAAGACTGAATTCATTAAGGAGGTTCGTCGTCATGGAAGGAAGGGAGGGGACAGGCAGGCCACGAGTACTTAAAATTCGTCTCGAAGATAAGCATATGGCCATGTCTGTTTTGCGTAAAAAGATGTGCGCTCGATCGTTCCCCCTGGAAGTTTTTTGCGAAAAGATCTGACGAAAAGAGAATTATTGCTAGATAAACATCTGCGAAAAGAATGTTATACACGAAATCAAAGTCTCAATTTGAAAAAGTATGTCGTCAGAAATCTTCAAATAGTGGAACTCAGGCAGCCTCGCCAATGAACACCGACGAGCAATTTTTTGATTCCAACATATTCTCATCAGTCTGCAGCAGCCTAGGACAAGTTATCAAGTAAGGTTAATAAAATAGGAGGTAATTTATCTTTATTTAACGCAAGAAGTTCAAAGTATAAACTTTATGACTTAAGACTTTTACTAATTGATAATCCAAACAGTATTTTCTGTATCAATGAAACGTGGTTGGATGACTCTATTGATAATCACGAACTAAATTTTGACGGCTTTATAGTATCACGCAAGGAAAGAACAATAAATAGTTCAAATATTCGTGGAGGTGGGCTTATCATGCTTATTCCTGATTATTATAAATTTATAACCTTCGATGATTATGTTTGCTCCTCTTTTGAATCTTTGTTAATTAAAATTTATCTTAATAACAGTAATATTTCTCTTTTAAATCTATATCGCCCACCGGGCTATGGAAGCAAATTCACTAAGGACCTTTACAACTTGTTACTCAAATTAAAATTAATTGGTACTGATTATGTAATTGTTGGTGATCCTAATATGCCAAACATAGATTGGGAAAATAGTTGTTTAAAAAGTAGCAATAAATTTGAAGAGGACTTTTTAAACTTTTGTACCTATGTTGGTCTACAGCAACATGTTAAGGTCGCCACTAGGTACAACACTATATTAGATGTTGTGTTAGCTACCTCTACCTCTCTTGTTGATAGTATTGGAGTCTTGGAACCTTTTGTAATAGTGATCACAATGTCATTCATATTTCATTAAAATTAGACCGTTATTCACCTCCCTTTTCTAGAAGTTACCGTCACTGTAATTATGAAATCTTTAACTCTATCCTCGCAGAAATAAACTGGGATTTCTTATTCTGTTTAACTCTATCGATGAAAAAGTTAATTTTCTTAATAGCATCATATTATATCTAATAGACCAATATATACCTTTAAGAAAAACGAACATTAGGTCGATTCCCACTTTTCTAAAATCCCTTAAGAAAAGTGTCAAGAAGCTTTATAATAAATATCAATTAACCAAATTGCTAAATGATTTCTCTGCATATAAAGAAAGTTTAAAAAGTTTCCGTAGCGCTATTCATAATTACTTTTCAAGAAAATAAGAACAACTTTTACATATTGATAGAAATTCTTTCTGGATCTATATCAATAAAAAATTTGCGAATCCACGTAAACAATTAATTCTGCAACATAATGATAATGTGATCACCTCTGATATTGATATTGCAAATGTATTTAATCAGTATTTTTCCAGTGCATTTGTTGAGGATGATACTCATGCTTCTTGACTGATTATGTACTGATTAAGTGAAAAATGATTACATTGAAATAACACTACTGGATGTTTATGATGCCTTAAATAGACTTAAACCGTCCATTTCAGCTGGTACCGATAACATTCCACAAATAATTTATAAAAAATGCGCAGTCTCTCTGAGTCTTCCTCTATTTTTAATTTATAAAGATATTATGAAGTCTGGCCTTAATCCCAAAATTTGGAAATTGTCCCATATAGTTCCCATTCATAAAAAGGGAAGCACCTATGACGCTTCTAATTACAGACCTATTAGCTTAAAATGTGTTGGCAGCAAGGTACTTGAAAGGTTGATTTACAACAAATTATCTTACTTATCTTACTTACTTATCTTGATACCAATAATTTTATATCTTCTTATCAGCATGTCTTTTGTACAAAAAAATCTACTTCACAAATATTGGCAAATCTCTCTGATTGGTCAGCATCAATTGACAATGGAAAAATATCAGTTGTGTACCTAGATTTGGCTAAGGCTTTTGATACTGTTTCCCATAGCAAATTATTGGTCACTCTTAATAGTTATGGCATAACAGGGGACCTCTATAACTGGGTTTCAGATTACACAAAAGATCGTTACCAGGCTGTATATGTTAACAACACTCTTTCTGACATGACACCTGTTAAATCAGGCGTACCCCAAGACAGTGCCATTGCTATTTCTATTATATATAAATGATATCTCATGGTAGCCTATCTCCACTGCAGGAGGACCTCAACAGAATAGCTGACTGGCTATATGACAGCCAAATTATCCTTTCCTTTCAAAAATATAGCGTTCTTCACATCAACTTTAAAGGATTCGATCTTCCTAACCTTTTTATAAATGGTAATTTAATCAATAGAGTATCACAAAACTCTGATCTTGGAATAATCATGGATGAAAATTCTCGATTTCGATCTTCATTGCCATAGTAAAGAAGTCCTCAAGGATACTAAATTTTATTTTTCGTTCGTTTAAGAAAGTTTTCTTATCAAATTATACAAAGCATTCGTTCGGCCTCTTCTTGACTACAATGCTACATGTTACTCCCCGAGACATTGCAAAACAGGTAAAATAATTGAAGGACTCCAAAAGTATTTTCTAAGACGCCATTCTCCTAATAAAAGTTATAATTTTAATTATAAAAGAACACTTTTACAACATAACATGGATTCTCTCTCAGTTCGTAGAATTAAACAAGATTTAATTTACACATATAAGATTCTGTATGGTTATGTTAAACTAGATTGCTCGAAATATTATAATTTTTGACTAAATTTGAATCCAACAAGAACTAATGGCTTAAATTTACTAAAACCTGTATGCAAAACTAAACTGAGGACTCATAACTTCTTTATTCGTACTACTAAGTACTGGAACAAATTACCGAACGATGTAGCTTGTGCGTCATCCTTAGCTGTTTTTAAAAAAAGACTAGATAATATTATTTACGATATTATTTAAAAAAAAAAGAGAGAAGAGTTTACAGCAGGCAAGAACTGCAGGAAGTGAGAAATCTCGATTTTATCTTCAGGTTATATATGTTACTTCGAATTGTACTATATTATTGATCTGTAATTTTCTCTTTAAATTGTTAATTTTTGTATATTGTTTTATAATTAATTTTGTTTATGTTATATTTTTTTTTGTGTTTTATTTTTCTTTCTTTTTCTGTTATCTTAATTGTTATTATTAATACAAGTACATGGCATTGTCGCCCTGCTTTGCTGGTTATCAATAAATAAAATAAAATAAATATATATATATGTTGTTCATACAATTTAATTCATTTTATTTATAATTTATTTAATTTATTTGATTTAATTTTAATTTATTTTATTTTAATCGTTGTTTGGTAAAAAAATTAAAAGTTTAAGAGGACTTAGCTGAACTGCGATCAGAAATGAAAAATAATTCACAAAAATAGAATATTTTTTGAAACGACCGCTCAACAAAAATTTTTTTGAAAACTTTTGCTGATTGCGAGCCTTCAACAGAAGAAGAAATAATTTCCGTTATCCATAAGACCAATAAGACTCCGAGAGAAAATGCTCTTCGGACTGATTCTTTAAATGTTATCCATCGTCCTTCATAACACATTTTCAACAAATGTATTCTCTGGTATGTGAAAAATATTGCCAGATGATTGGAGTAAAGCAATTCTGCTCCCAATTCTCAAGAAAGGTGATAGGGCATACTACGACAATTATCAAGGAATCAGCCCACTAGACGTCTCAGTGAAAATTTTTGCTTCCCTTTTACAAAAGAATTCTGAAAGTACGGGATAGCAGGATGCGCCCTAATCAAGCTGGATTCAAACAAGGCGCATTGTACTGACCAGATATTCACATTAAGAAAGGTGTTGGAACATCGATTCAGATATTTACAACCCACTATCACGTGTTTCGACTTTGCGGTTGCCTTTGATTCAATTGATAGAAAGGATGATGGAATGCGACGGTGTTCCAGGGAAGATCATTCGACTCATAAAGGCATTTTATGAGCATACGTCGGCGCAGGTCTGTGTACATGGGGAACTAACAGGTTCCTTCGAAATGAGAACTGGTGTCCGACAAGATTGTGCCCTTTCCCCTACAATTTTCAACTATGCGATAGTCTGGATAATGGATACCGCTTATCGGCACTCAAAGAGTGTCCAAATCAATCCAGAGCATTTATCACAGATCTTAAATACGCTGATGATATAGTTCTTTTTGCTGACAGTTAACGAAATGCGAGTAATGTTAAATAACGTGCCAGAAACTGCAGCAAGAATAGGATTCAGGCAAATTTACATTTACATTTATATTTATATTTATATAAGATACATTACAGATCCGTCGAGCAGATAAGATATCACATGATCGCATCCATCTTCATTCAAATATCATTAATAATGTTATCACAGAGCGTCGTCTTCCGTGGTTAGGACATTCTCTGTTGTCCACCACAAGGGTTGTCGCATATTTCGTTACTTGCTAAATCGTGTGATGAGTGGCGTCAAAAGCGAGGAGGGTCAGTCAAGACCTAGACTGATACGGAAAGATTTTGAACGTATAGGATGATCAGCGTTATATGGACTTAGACGATAGAAAAAGGAATGGCTTCTATTACTGTTGACAATGGCATCAGACCGCTCCACTTGGAAAAGTCTTACCCTTGTAGCCATTGGAGCCAGCGTAACCAGTAATGGTGAGAACTGTTAGAAGAAGAATCTTTATTATATATTTACTTTTCAGAAAACAAACGCTTTTTAAAATCGGAATTGATTACAACAAATTAACGCTTTTAAGGATTCGTCTGAAGATTTACTGTAATATTCTATGATCATTAATATTATATTCTATAAATCTATAATAATCTATGTTAGCTAATGATAATCAAGGATTAACTCTTCAATTCAAAGAGATACCATAATACAAGCAAGTCTCTATATTTCTAAAAAATACAGAAAGCCTTATAAGATTGTTCATTAAAAAGATCCATCCAAGAAACTGGTATGTCTTAAAAAATAGGAGAAAATCCATCGTTCTTTAAATTCCTTAAATCAATTAAAAAACGAATTAAAAAGGCCATACAACATTTAGTAGACTCTTATTAAAACTTTAAAGGCAAATATTACGAATGCAGCAATATAATTTGCCAAATAAATGCTTTTTTATATCATGAAACCACTCGATGACAGTCGCTTAATGGCATCATTGATTTTTAATTTATTTATGTTCATAGCCGTTATACAATTTTTTTCTCAAAATTCTCGAAATTTTCCGATTCAAAATTCCGAAGAATTTCTCCACAAAAAATCTTCAACTATTCAGACTTTTGGTTTTTCTGTTTAGTAAAAAACGAAAAGAAAAGAAAAAATAATTCGAACCACAAAAAATAGTAAAAAATGATGCAGTACCATAATGAGTTAAAATTCCCAAAGTTAATTAGATAAATTTAAGACAATAAGATTTGATAATTAAAAATCTTTTCAAAGACAAAAAAGACAAAAAATTTGGCTAAAATTCAAACTAATTGTTCAATTTTCTTTCGAAAAGAGGTCGTCTCATTTCATTTCATTTTTGCTCATCTCATTTTTTTTATTAGATGCAAATTTACTGCAAAAAATTTTTAATCGTAATCATAAAGTTATGAATATGAATTTATTCTTTCTAATATTTTTATGCACTAACATAAGAAATTAAAAATGGCTTTAAATTCACTTGATACAAATATTTACAAACATAAATACATTTGGCAGTGAAACATTTAAAAGGTTATTTATTATAAGCGAAAAAAGAATGAAATTGGAGAAGAGGAAAAATTTGAAGGCCCATGCAAATTTGAAATTTAAAAGAGCTGAATGTCAAGAAAAAAAGTTATTTTTTTCATTATAAAATTTTTCATAAGAATTTACATATTATATTCCAAGATTTCTGGATAGCTTAAAGAACAAATCATTAATTTTCCTTCCACACTAGAAATTCTTCTATACTTTAACAAAAATTTCGATTGCTTGAATTTCTTCGCTATAAAACTTGCTCTGTATTTTTTGACTGCATTTGGTTATAATGTATCGAGCTATTTTGCATAGAATAAGCAACAGCATTTGAAATGGATAAATATAACAAAATTAGATAAATCTTGTTTCGCTTCGTGCTATAATGTCATGTAAAAAGCAGTTTCGCATATTGTCGAATCGCTCATAGCAGCTTGCGTAAGAGAAATCCAGTTGAGTAATGTTTCCAGGTCGTTGGTCGCAGAAGGTTAGACATTTTTCGCCAGCTAGTGTGGTTCCAACTCCTTCAAAATTTATTGGATATTAATAACATAATAGCAGTTTTCCAGAATGAGATAACATCTCTTTAGAATAGCATCTTGATTGTGTCATATTTGTTACTGTTTTTTAAAAGGTTTTTTGACGTCGAAATCAATTTCTTTCTCACACAAATATTATTTGAATATGCAAGTTAGAAAGTTAATTTCCTAACTTCTCTATAAAATACAGTAGAAATGAATTCTATTGTTAAGTTCACTCAAATTAAGACATTAGAAAATCCACCGTTTCTTCCACAACAATGGCGATGATCGCGACCTTGAGCAGCACAGAATTGAATCTCAGCAGATGCTTCAATTGGACATGGATCTTGTTTGAAATACATTTTTAGCAACTGAAAATGCCATTAGATGCCTAACAAAAAATAGGTAAATTTTCCAAAAGCAGATAATTCTTCAACAGAAATTTTGATTAAGAGTCTCATCGACTTTAGAAGCAGAACAAAATTTTAGGAATTTCGAAAGTCTTGTAGTTGAAAACATATGAAAAACTATTAAAATGCACTAAAATGAAATATGAGATACCGAAAATTTTGAAAAAATAAATTATAAGATAATAAAAAATTTAAAAATGTAAAAATGTAAAAATCTGCTCAAGAATTTCGTGTAATTAAATCAAAAAATATTGCCTCCTCTTTCGTAAAAGTATTAAAGGTGCATTTTTGTAGACATGCGTCAGGCAATCCACGAGTTTCACAACAATCCATGAATAACTGATTAGGACTCTACAAAATTTTTCTTTATTGCATTTTGGCCATCTTTATTAATTATTCTTCTAATAAACTGTATATAAATCAATATTGGTTGAAAATTGTAAATGGTTATGCAATTTAAGTAATTTTCATAAAATTTCATAAAATTCTTTCACAGTTGTTGATGACTAATTGCAAAAACCATGCAAAATTTTTTGTGCGAGACAATGCTAATAAAAAATACTGAAGATAAATTTCTCTATTAAATTGATTCAAGCTTTTTAAGAATTCATTGATTTAAAAGCTGGAATAGATTAACAATTAATAACTGTTGCTCCCATTTTTTCATCCTCATGTTTATAATTACAGTCTGATTTCAACTTTAAAATCTTTCTTCATATTCTAAAGAATATATTATTCATACTTTAGACCAAAAGGCAGAAGAACCAATCAGTCTCTAGAAACTTACTCGGAACTCAGACGGTGTTTTTACTCGAAGTGTATTAGAAGCCCGAGCTCTAGCTCGTCTAGCGCATCCATATTGACCACAGTGATAGCCAGGACCACAAGAGGGCTGACACTGCGCTGGTGGTAGTGATGGCGGTGGTAAACAAGGATTTGGACCACCGCATACACCACTTGCGAGACACTATAATTCATTACTTTAACACGGTTTATAAGAGAAAATCTAAGATGATCTGATAATACAATAGATCGAAATTCAGATAAATTTAGTTTCAGACCTCTAGGCTTATATAAACAAATTTTTAAAATCATACAGCAAATGCTGATGCGACGAAAGAGTTGACAAACAGAAATAAAATAAATGGCATATCAAAAGGGAAAGCAATCCTTTTAGTACTACCACACCTTGATCAAATATATTTATAGTCACTTTCGACAAAGGGGCGGAACATTTAAATTCGAAGGTAAATTCAAAAATATTTTTAAATATTGGAAAAGATTTTCTTCAAATAAAAACTTTAAATAAAACTTATATGAATATTTACCTTGTAATGGAAAAGATAATTGTACAATATTTTAAATAGTAAATCGAGATTTTTAGATATACAAGAAAATTCACGTGTTGTCATCTTAAAGGAGTAAGTGAGCAAGTGGCTAACTATTTTTCATTAAGCTCTGGTTGCTAGTAATATAGGAATTTTTAAAGATGGAAATAGGTCTCCAGCGTTGTCTTAATATTAGGTTTACGTTAGTCGAATGCACTATTTATGCGAACTTTTGTTTCTCAGTTTGGTAATGTGAATTCATTCTGTAATCAAAATCCGTTAACCACTCGGCTACCAAATCTCTGAGTCATATAAATAATGTAATCTTTTTTTAATAGGCTTAACTTTGCAGCAAAGGTGAAAGTTCAATACATATTTCTAAGCAATGAGCATTCGACAATACTTTCAGTGGGAAATTAAATTTGAAATATTGAAATAATAAATTTTAAATATATCTGATTTTGAGAAAAAAGAAAACTGGAGAAGTGGAATGGATGGAACGGAAGCACCATTAAGAAAAACTAAACACCTAAACACCTAAATACAAACACAAACGATTGTGCCTTCGCAATTTATTTCTTATCCGAATGAATCTATATGATAATTAAGAAATTCTTTCTAAAGAAGTGTGCAGTGCATAGCAAGTTATCACAGAAATAAATAAAAACACAAGTTTAAAAATAATTATTGAGTAAAATTATTTAAGCAATAGTTTGAGTCCAGAGAATGTATTTTTTTGATGGATTCACATTCATTATCAATAATTTCGTCAAATCAGCTGAAATGGCAAAAAATATGGCTAATTTCTCAGCTAGATTTTTTCATTCATTAGGTCTGTGTCGATATACTCGATTAATGCTCAAACATTAATTTGGCCGCCTATTGCTCGGCGAAAATTGCATTGTTGCTCATATAGTTCTCAATAAATTTATGAAAAACTGAGTTATTTACTGCAAAATCCTATTCATATCGTTTTCTTTTTTCAGGCTTTAATTTTCAGCTTTCTGTATTTACAAACACCATCATTTAAATGAAATGTATGACGAAGAGTCGGTGGAACCGGTATAAATTCCTTAAGAAAGAGCGTAAATACAATTAGAAGAAATCTTCTTATGAGTGCCTTTTGTATTTCACATGGTAAACGTCGCTTAGCTATGCAAAATCCTAAGTTGGCATTGTTAAATGATTCACTGACCACTTACACATAACTGGTTTTTCATTGCCATAATCATTTATCTATTAATGAATTCTTAAACCATGATCAGCAGTCCAAAATATTTATGTATTGAAGTTTTCGCTGTAAACATATTCATTTTAGAATTTATAAGTTTAATTTCGCATAAAATTGATTTCCCAAAACTAATAATTGAATAGTAAATAAATAAATAAATATTAGATTTGTGAAAATTAATATTAATTTTTGCGAATAAACTGAAATCATTTAAATGAAATGTATGAAGTAAATTTTTTGGAATGATTTAGTTAAACCAGTGAAACGTCACGACTTCCTCTAATCCTTAGGGATAATTAATCTGATAGTTCCACAATAATACTTTATATATTATAATACTTAAAATGCGACGAAAAAGAATCACAAATTCAAATAAGTCCAGCTGAAAATTTTTTGAACAAAAAAACGATTAAAATACAGCCTCAAATGAAATTAAAGAGAATTTTTTCGGGTGTTTTCTAAACCATTTAATTCATTTTTTAATCGATGAAAAATAGCGAATAAAAAATAGATGAAAACCGGTTTCTTGTAAGATTTCATAGATTTAAGGATAATGGAAAGTAAAATGAGTGAAAATAACACGTTTATAAGATCGTTTGGTTTTGTATCATTGTATTGTTAAATGCAATGGCCGATCATCTGCATGATCTCATTTCTTTTTTATTCGAATATTTTTATTTTTAGTTTAGCAGAAGATTATTTCTTGAATTTTCGAAAATTGTTATAGCCAATTATGATAAAGTAGATTAGATTAGACATAAAAAAGTTATTTTCTGGATTTCTTTCCTTCTTTCCTTTCTTTCCGTTTTTATTTCACTGCTTCTAAATGTAAAGTGTGAAGAATAAAAATGAATAGTTTTTAAAAAATAGGAGACTTTAAGAGAACTGAAAAATTTAAAAGCATTTCTATAAAATTTTGATTATTTACTCACTGTTTTTGAGAGAGACATTTCATTTTAAGATTGAAATTAGGATGATAATATGACTGAAACGAAACACGAATTCTTGAATGATCAAAATCGAATCTCTTTGAAAATGTGCACTGAAAATTGAAACTGAAATAGGAAATTAAAAAGAACTAGTTTTTTTTATGCTGACAATCTGAACATTTGTATGAATGCTTAATCAGAGGTTTAATTTGCTTAATTTGAGAGGAAAGGAGCAGGTTTGTAATAAATGGCTTTACAATAAGAGGTATTTTAGAAAATGAGAATCAGTCACTTTCGATTTCGATTTTAATACATTTTATTAATGAAAAATTCCGAATGGCATTAGGATTAATTTATTTTTTTTATTTTTGAAAGAAATTTTATTTTTCATTTTAAAATTGAAATTAAGATGACTATTCGCTGATTTCATCGGTGAAATGAAAGTTACTTTTTACTCGAGTGAATTCATTACATTATATACTCGTAAAATCATGAATCCAAAGTTCGCGAAATCTGGGTTGGAGTGCTAGCCTACTGAAAGTTAATTTTGTGAAAAATGGAGAAAATGTTATCGTCCTCTGGCAAGGAAGATTTATATGAAATAGATTACTAAATTTTCCACTAGGTCCAATCTATTAGATTTTAATCTCTTTTATGAAAAGCTGAATGTTTCACTGTTTTAAAATCATTTACTGCATGATTTACATGCTGATCAAAATTTCTAAGTGTACCAGCGGAGCTAACCTAACCAGAAATATTCAGCGCTAAGCATTTACTTATAGTTTGCTTTTTCAGTTAACTTTATGTTACTTTTTAATTATCGCATTGACAAAAAGTTTATAAGAGCAATTGGTTGGCCCCTTATGTCTTATTTTATTATTGTTACTAATTGTGACGCAACGAATGTTTTTTTTTAATAAAACTGATTATAGTATGAATTATCTGAAATAATTCAAGATGTCGGCTGTTTTTTTAGTATCAGTGCAGTTCCCTGTCGCAGCTCTCTACATGTATTGTTTCTTGTGCTTATACATTACTTTAATCCATCTCGGAAAATTTCGAAAAGTTTACTATTGTTCTAATTTAACTACTGTTCTTCGGAAGAAAAAAAACTTAGATATTTCGTATTTTTTATTTCACATTTTATTACTGTTCCATTTTTTTACTAAAAAAAAAGATTTTTCAAGGATGAGCCAATTCTAATTTCTCTTATTTATCAGTGTCATATATTTATAAATGAAACTTTGAAGTGTTTTCGAAAAATAAACACAAACAAATAACACTGATAATAAAATAATCTGCATAAAATAGTATTATTGGTGATATTTCACAAATAAGTTAGTCGCTCACTGAATTGTCATTAAAAAGGTTCGATATAGTCGATCTGCTGATGCGATAATCATTATGGCAAAAGCCGATCATTATTGAAGAGCGGGGCCACTAACAAAATTCCTCACCGAAAGTTTGGTTTCTTGCTTTCTTTTATATGCGATTCGAAAAATAGAAAATAGTTATATTTTTAATTATTTAAGCACAAAATAAAAATAAAAAACAACAATTAATTTGATTAATTTGATTAATAATTTAATTTCTTGTTTTAATTTTTATTTTTTGTTTTTTAATTGTGACCTTAAGTGGCCATGATATTTCGTATATATTTAACTAATTATCAGAATTGTTATAATTTTGCGGCCATTATGACCAGTTTCAGCAGTAATAGTGCGCATTAACAGAAGGCGAAATAAAAAATATAGTGAAAGGGTTATAATGAACAGTGGGAATAAACAATCTACAGTAACCATGCAGTGAATATCTTTATTCGATCAATCTACCGCTGGCGTATTCATTTTCTTGACATTAGATTGAAAAGTCAATAAATATATGATATCAAGCCATAATATAATCAAATTTCAAAAATTTCAATATCAAAATACTGCTTATTGATGGCATAAAATTACGGAAAAAATAGTATGAATACGCCAGCCGCAAGTCAGAATCGAGTCAATAATTTTATCGACAAAAATTTATTTTAAACCAATTCTTGAGTTTTAAATATTTCATCCTAAATTGAATTAAGCGATGCTTGCATTAAATTGTCATAAATTGCAAACACATAAGCAAAAATGATAAAATGATAAAAAACCTTCTAACAGGTCACACCATTGTTGGTTAGACTGGTACTTATGGCTACAAGGGTTTTCGAGCTGCACGATCTGATGACATTGCTGACAATAATAGAAGCCATACTTTTTTCCTTCGCCTAAATCCATATATCCCTGTTCCCTTTATATATCCAAAAACTTTCTTGACTGTATTAATACAATCTGAACTGGTCGTTCTTGCTTTTGGCGCCATCCTGGGTTCAGCAAGTGATGTAATATGCCAACTCTTGTAGTGGGTGATAAAGAACATGCCCTAACCAGTGAAAGAGACGCTCTATTATGGTACTGTTAATGCAAGTGAT